AGAAAACATGCAAAGCATTCATAAAGCAGTCAATACAAACTTACACTAACAAACAACTGGAAACAAGAAATGCAATAGACGAAATGGAGGATATGATTTCCTTATTCCCATTAATAAATAAGTAACAATTCTTCCCACTAGATGTAGTATCAAGGAAAGCCATGCCACTAGCCTGACCTAATGACACATCAAATGACATTAGCCAAGTAATTTTAGTTTGCTAGCAGTCATCAGCTAAGTAGAAAAGAATTAAATAGCAACATAGACCATGGAGTTTTAAAGAGAAAGTTAAAGTTTTTTAGCAAAGTTTTAGTTGCATGTTCAAGAAGAAAATGGAAACTTAAATGGAAAACTTACCACATATCCAGCCCCCTCTTTGGGATTGTGAACAGCTATACTTTTTGGAGTGATACCAGTAAGATGGAAAATAGCAACCTAGGATCATTCAGAAAAATTCAATGGTTATGATTTCTTTCTATCTTTTATGTTCACTTTTCTTTTTGTTTTTCTTTTTGAAAGAGGCAAGCTTTTCCCATTGCATGTAAACAAAATATCTACAATAATCACCCAGGCAAACCTGGGTTTAACATATCACCTAATACTCAAAATTGCAATGGCAAAAAGAAATTCATTTTTTTCTTCTTTATTTAACAAAGGTGCTATGTCTTTCAGTATGCAGAAACACAGGTAGACCGGAAACAAATTCATTTAGGAGAAAAGGAAACAAAAAGCACTAAGAAGATCCAAGACTATTTGTCGTCGCTCTATAGGATAGCTTCAGATTAACAATTTCATAAGCGAGTTGAAGAAAAAAACAAAGAAAGGGAAAAAAAAAGATAAAAATGGAAAACCCCCCTTGAAGGAAATAAGCTAAGCCTGTCATGTACGATATACAAGACATAGTTTTGATTTTCTAGTAAAATATCAACACCTTTACCAATAATATAAAGAGAGAAACGTATGCAAATTAATCTATTATAAAAAGAATCATCGACGCCCAAAGGTTTGGATACACACAATATCAAAAAATAAAATAAAACAAACAAAATAAAGAATGACCAGCGTGCAAGAGTTGAAATGCAAGTATCTATGTCATAGAAAGTCCTAGAGCCACCTAATACACCAAATCTCGAACTCAAAGACATTATGGTCACAAAAGATCCAGCTCATTTACCTTTACCACCTTCACATTGTCATAGAGGTAGAGGGAAAAAGGAAAAAGAATGACAAATAACCACATCACCCACCTTTTTATTATTCTGCAGTTTATTAGAGTTATCCAACATGATTTCTTATTCATTCTTCTTTTATTGTTTACAAAGGAAGTACAAAACTTTGTAACAGCGAACTCTACAACTCAAGAGCTAACTTAAAGAGATTTATC